TCCCTCCCTCACTCTCCTCCTCTTCCTTTTCTTTTGTCTTCTTCTTCTCTTTTTTTGGAGACCAAGTGCTCACTGTTTCACCCAGGCTCGGAGTTGCAGTGGGCACGATCTCAGCTCTTTGCAACCCTGCCTCCCAGGTTTCAAGTGATTCTCCTGCTTCGCCTCCAAGTAGCTGGCAATCAGGCATCCACCATCACACCCTGGGCTAATTTTTGTATATTTAGTAGAGATGGTGTTTACCATGTTGGGCCAGGCTGGTTTCGAACTCCTGACCTCATGGTGATCCGCCTACCTCGGCCTCCCAAGTGCTGGGATTACAGGTGTGAAGCCACTGCGCCGGCCCTTCCTTCTTTCTTTCCTTACTTTTTTTTTTTTTGACAAGGCCTCCACTCTGCACCCAGGCTGGAGTTAAAGTGCACGATCATGGCTCACTGCAGCCTCTATCTCCCATGCTCAGGTGATTCTCCCAACTCAGCTCCTGAGTTAGCTGGACTGACTGCAGGCACAGGTACCAAGCCCGGTAATTTTTGTAATTTTTTTTGTAAGAGACTGTTTTGCATTTGCCCAGCTGGAAATCTTCATTTCAAATACATGGAACCTAAGCTCACTATTTTCAAAAAAGCAAATAGGAAAAAAGGAAAGTGAATGCAAAAAGGAACGGAAGAGGGATTGCAATTTAAAACCATTATTTTGGCCGGGCGCGGTGGCTTCGATGGCCTTAATACCAGGCACTTTGCGAGGCTGAGGCGGGCAAATCACTTGGAGGCAAGGAGTTTCGATCACGCTGCATGCCAACATGGTGAAACTTGTTGTTATAAAAAATACCAAAATTGGTCCGGGCATGGGTGATGTAATGTCAGCTACGTTCAGGAGGAGACTGACGGACGAGAATCGTTTGAACCCTGGGAAAGTGGAGGCTGCAGTGAACTGAGATCGGTCGCACTATACTCCGCTGGTGGTGGACCACGCGAGACTCGTCTCAAAAAAAAAAAGTCCATGTGCGTGAGATATTATAATCATGAGCTTATGTGTGTATATGTGTGGTAATGGGTTAGAATTTGCTGTTTTCTTGTCCATGCTGATGACTTTTTGTTTTTTTTTGAAGGGAGTCGGTCACTGCTCTGTCACCAGCTGGAGAGCGAGTGGCGCTGTCTCGGTTCACTGCACCTCCACCTCCTGGGTTCAACAATTCTCCTGCCTCCGCTCCTCAGTACTGGGTGGATTTTACAGGCACCCGGCCAGCGAGTGCCTAGCTATTTTTGTATTTTCGGTTCAAGCAATTCTCCTGCCTCAGCCTCCAGAGTAGCTGGGATTACAGGCATGCACCACCACGCCCGGCTAATTTTGTATTTTTAGTAGAGACGGGGTTTCTCCGTGTTGGTCAGGCTGGTCTCGAACTCCCAACCTCAGGTGATCCGCCCGCCTCAGCCTTTCTTAGAGTCCCAAAGTGTTGGAATTATAGGCACGAGCTGCTGCACGTGGCCTGATCATTTCTTTTTGTTTTTCTTTTTTTTGAGACAGAGTCTCACTCTGTTGCGCAGGCTGGAGTACAGGGGCGCAATCTCAGTAGCTCACTCTAGCCTTGATCTCTTGGGCTCAAGTGATCCTCCCGCCTAAGCTTCTTGAGTAGCCCAAACTACAGGCACGCACTACCATGCCCGGATGATGTTTTTAATTTTTAATAGAGATGAGGTCTCACTATGTTACCCAGGCTTGTATCAAACTCCTGAGCTCAGGCTATCCTCTCAGCTTGGCCTCCCAAAGTGCTGGGATTACAGATGTAAGCCACTGCACCCAGCCTCTTTTCCTTTAAACAATGACAAAAACAATAGCAAAAGAAAACTTTGAAAAATAGAGATAGGATCTGACTGTGTTGGCCAAGCTAATCTCAAACTCCTGGCCTCTTAGCAACCCTCCCACCTCGGCCTCCCAAAGCCAGGCATGATGGTGGGTGTCTGTAATCCCAGCTACTCAGGAGGCTGAGGCAGGAGAATGGCGTAAACCCAGGAGGCGGAGCTTGCAGTGAGCTGAGATCCGGCCACTGCACTCCAGCCTGGGTGACAGAGTGAGACTCCGTCTCAAAAAAAAAAAAAAAAAAATTTAATAAAGTAAAGGGCCTCTTCCCAAATGGCATCAAGTATTATAGAGACCTGTCTTAGACATACAAAAATAGCAAGAGAAACCTTGAAGTCTTCCTGATTCTGGGGGAAAATCCTACCGAGGGTTTCAGGGTCTAACTTGCCGCACTAACTTAATAGAACCACTGTCTGTTCTCTTTTGAAAAGCTGGACATCTGTTCTGCTGTTGTGTCTTGCCATTCTCCTGAAGAACAGAGGCACACCGTAATACCCAACACTTCCCCTTGCATTCTATGAGGTAGGTAAAGTATATTATAATACATACTTCTTTAAAACGTTGAACCTTAATTCAAATACCAAAAAAGGGAGGATTTGCATTGCTATTTCCATATGTCTTGCTGCTGACTTGGAGATGAGATTATACTGCTGTCATATCCTACTTTTACTGCTAGGCATGTGGTAGATTTAGACAATTTGGCAGTATGGTTTTGTAACATAGGTGGGTCTTTCCATGAAACCCTTGGATGCAAACTTGGTTCTTGCTGACCACTTCTCTTACTCAAAGTAAAGAGAAGACTTACATATCTTGAAGTAATCCAAGTTCCTAGTAACTGTGGGAGAACTTCTTGAGTGGTAAATTAAAAACAAGATACCACAGGAGGACAGAGGCTAAGCTTTTTGATAATTGGACCAGAAATTGCTAATGTGAAATGTTGTTGTTTTTTTGTTTGTTTTGTTTTTGTTTTTGTTTTTGCTTTGAGATGAAGTCTTGCTCTGTTGCCCAGGCTGGAGTGCAGTGGTGCGATCTCGGCTCACTGCAACCTCTGCCTCCCAGGTTCAAGCCATTCTCCTGCCTCAGCCTCCTGAGTAGCTGGGATTACAGGCGTGTGCCACCACACCCGGCTACTTTTTGTATTTTTAGTAGAGACAGGGTTTCAGCATCTTGGCCAGGCTGGTCTTGAACTCCTGACCTTGTGATCCACCCGCCTTGGCCTCCCAAAGTGCTGGGATTACAGGCATGAACCACCACACCAGGCCATTTTTTTTGCGGGGGGGATGGAGTCTTACTTTGTCACCCAGGCTGGAGTGCAGTTGCGCGATCTTGGCTCACTGCAACTTCTGCCTCCCAGGTTCAAGCAATTCTCGTGTCTCAGCTTCCCACGTAGCTGGGATTACAGGCACAAGCTACCATGCCTGGCTAATTTTTTTGTTGTTGTTTTGTTTTGTATTTTTAGTAGAGATGGGGTTTCGCTATGTTAGCCAGGCTAGTCTCGAACTCCTGACCTCAAAAGATCTGCCCACCTTGGCCTCCCAAAGTGCTGGGATTACAGGCATGAGCCACCATGCCTGGACTTGTTTTTTGTTTTTTTTTGTTGTTTTGCTTTTTGAGACAAGGTCTCACTCTGTCACCCAGGCTGAAGTGCAGTGGCGTGGTCACGGCTCACTGCAGCCTTGACCTCCTGGGCTCAAGCAGTCCTCCCACATCAGCCTCCTGAGTAGCTGGGACTACAGGCACTCGCCAGCACACCTGGCTAATTTTTGTATTTTCTGTAGAGATGGGGTTTCACCATGTTGCCCAAGGTGATCTCAAATGCCTGGGCTCAAGTAGTGCTCCCACCTCGGCCTCCTAAAGTGTTGGGATTACAGGCATGAGCCACTGCCTCTTTTTTTTAAATTGAAACTTTTTGTTGAACTCACACATTTGGGTTCTGTAAATTTATGTTTTTATGAGTAAATTTAATGGGAATGAAAGCATAATTGATCTTTTTTTTTTTTTTTTTGTATTTGAGGAGTGCTTCATTTCCAGGCAATAAAATGCTAATTCTCATCTCTGTCTCTCTTAGATTACAGCAAGATGGAGATACCAAATCCCCCTACCTCCAAATGTATCACTTACTGGAAAAGAAAAGTGAAATCTGAATATATGCGACTTCGACAACTTAAACGGCTTCAGGCAAATATGGGTGCAAAGGTAAAATAATAATTCCCAAGTGAAAGTTTATGTATTTCAATATACTGATCCAATGTAAAGGGGTTGGAATTTTTTTTTAACTTTCGTTTTGAAATCTTAACAGGGCCAGGCGCAGTGGCTCACACCTGTAATCTCAGCACTTTGGGAGGCTGAGGCAGGTGGATCACCTGAGGTCAGGACTTCGAGACCAGCCTGTCCTACCTGGTGAAACCCCATCTCTACTAAAAGTACAAAAATTAGCCAAGCGTGGTGTCATGCGCCTGTAATCCCAGCTACTCGGGAGACTGAGGCAGGAGAATTGCTTGAACCCAGGAGGTGGAGGTTGCAGTGAGCCGAGATGGTGCCACTGCACTCCTGCCTGGGTGACAGAGCAAGACTCCATCTCAAAAAAAAAAAAAACAAAAGGCCAGGCACGGTGACTCATGCCTGTAATTCCAGCACTTTGGGAGGCTGTCGGGCAGATCACTTGAGGCCAGGAGTTTGAAACCAGCCTGGCCAACATGGTGAAACACCGTCTCTAC